AATTGGAGACATTCACACTAAAATTAGAATTATGCAAGCATATGAATCCTTTTTTGTGTGGATAAAATGACATATGAATCATTGATGAAATAAGATAACATTTTTTAAGCATATGTAAAACATAAAAATAAGTATTTTTTTGTTTGTTTATCCATGAACTTGATAAACATTATGCTAGAATATTTTTGCATTAATGCTAGAAGAGTGTATCAAGAAAGATGGTTTGTGAATTTTTAAGATCGGTAATCTTTCATATGGTTTTTAAGACATCGATGTTGATCGGTCTATTGCGATTTTTTCCTTCTTTAGCATTGGGCTTGAAAATTATTGTTTAATATTTTTACTTCTTAAGGGTGCGTTTGGTATGCAGACTACATGGGACGGGACGAGACAAAAATAAATAGTCTCATGTTTGGTATGCCATGGACAAAAAAAACATGGGACAAGGTAGGACTATTTTCAATTTTTATGGGACAAATCTTGATATTTCTTGTTCCACCAAAAAAGGTGGAACAACATGGGACTAAAGTTAAAATGACAATATTACCCTTATTATTTCATTCAATAAAAAACCTAACTCAATCCCATTTGTGCAGTTATCACCTCCATCGCCTCTCTTCTTCCATCGCCTGTATCCTCTTCTTCCATCGGTCTCCTCTTCTTCCACCTTCTCCATCGCCTCCCCTCCTCTGCAATCGGTACAATTTCTCCATCTCTCGCTTCTTTGCCTGCATAAGATTTCTCCATTTCTCCACTGCGTACGGTTTCTCCATGTAATGGTTGTGTGTTTGTAATGGCTTTGTGTGTAATGGGTGTGTGTGTGTAAAGAACTTCTCATGCTCGCACTGTTAATTTATCCTTTACCATGTAGTTTTAATAATAAAATGCTCCTCTGCATAAAAGCCTATTTCACATAAAATGGAACCAATGTAGTTTCTGCTTTTTTGGGACTTAAATTTGAGAAATAGATCACCAACCGCAATGCATAACTGGAGTTCGTTCACAACAGGGGTTCAATTGATGAATAGAGGCCATGAATGTTCTCAAATAACATTGAACAACATTTAGGGGTAATATGGTCATTTTAACAGTTTTGTCATGTCCGTCCTAGTCGTACCAAACATAGGGCAGACAATTAGTCATGTCCCGTCCCGTCCTGTCTCATCCTGTCCTGTCCCGTCCTGTCCTATCCAGTCTGCGTACCAAACACTACCTAAAGGAGAAACCAAACATAATAAAGTGTCATCCTCTAAACATTAGAAATATATCATTCTTATTTCTTAGATTTTTGAATTTTTAAAATATTTTATATATGTAAAAGACTTTTCCGTCCATATATTTAAAACATGAAATTCATTAGGATAAAGTTATTTTGGAAATTTTTTAAAGTTTAACCCACAACTTTTTCATCTTTATTCTTGGAGGTGAAACCTCCAAACCCTTCCATGTGCTCCTCTGTGATTTGTCCATCAATAAATCTCTTTTTCTTCTTCTCTATCATTTGAATTATTCTTTATTTTACAAACCATTATTATTCAACAAAATATTTTTTCAGGTAAACTTTTTTCGCTCTCTCCATCACTTGATTTTTTCTTCACATGTATATATATTATATTATTTAGAAAACATTATATTTATTAAATGATTGATCATACAAGTTTCAATTATTTTTGTTTTGTATGCCTTACATATCGACTTTTACTATTTTCAAGTAAAATAAAATATGTCATATTAGAATTAATATACAAAATTTATATGAATATATAAAACTAAAAAAACTTACTAATCAGTTAAAATCAATATATAGATA